CTTTTGGGATTGACTGTATAGCCAATACATCCTTAAGACATTTTCACGTGTACATCGTGTATAAAAAAAATGTGAAGATCTTGAAATGAGTGACTGTCAGACACCGTAGATTGTAGATCATAGCGTGAAATATTAAGAGAGCTTCTGTTAATTGTTCATCAAATATAACGAATTATAATATTCGTAGGTTTCATTCAATTAATTCACGTGTCCTAATGACTTATGAAAGGGAATAACAGGAAGGCAATGATGGTTGTCGCACGCTATTGCGCGATAAAATTCCGTAGTAAAATAATTGCGTCGATCAACGTCATGTTTAGACGTATAAAACGGGGAATACCCAGTATAGTAAATAGAACATAATTTATCAACGGGACGAATAAATTTGTCGATGTTCCATACGAAATTAGCAATTAAACGTGATTACGGTTATTCGCTTCTGGACGTACACGGTGGCGCGTGTAGCGACAGAAACGGCTACGCGGCGCGTTCATTACGATTTTTCCGAAATTTCGCAATTTGCCCGGCGCGTCCGCGATTCCGCGTGTTCAACGACAAAAGACGCTAAAAGTTATCGGTAAACGTTCGCTGATTAATCGACGCTCGCCGCGTAATTGCTGCGCTTTTCACGTGCGCCGCAGACGATCACCGTGAATTCGACAACTGACAAATGGCCAAGCGGTGATAGAGATTAATGTCGGAAACGCGTGGTACATCCAGACGTCACGATGTTTGATCATCGAAACGGGTAATCGTCGCCCCCTCTACCGCCCATACACTTTTCACGAGCACTCCATCGTTCTCTCTAGATGTACTCTCGTCGAAGAACATCTACAGTACGCTGGCAAAGTGTTGCACGCGATAGAAATCATTTTTCCGAAAGATCGATGCGCAGGATTCGCATTTATCGCGAGGATCAGATTCTCGTAACGATATCAGTGAGACGCGTGGTGCATCCGAACATCACGCACTCTGACATTCTCGATATGCGTGCTCGCACATCGGGGAACGCGAATTTCTTTTTTCCGAAGGATAGGTACACATATGAGATTCGCATTAAGGATTATATCCTTGTAACGAGATGAGAGAAAGGTAGACGTCAACGGGGATCGATTAGGACGGTCCGACGCCTCGCGGAATTCGCGTTTCGAAGGAGGTATACGGCGCGTAGCGAAAGAAAACGAAAACGAGAAATAGGACGACGTTTTGCGGTTTCGACGTCGGCATCGAAGCGACAAAAGGTTTGCCCCTGCCTAACGACCTTTCGGTTTTCGTTTCACGGCTTACACATCGGCGAGGGGCCTCGTGAAACCGAGCTGCTGTTCTCTCTCCCTTTCTCTCATCGTTCCGTCCCCCGCTAACCCCGCGGTGTTTCACTCTTCGAGAGCTGGTGGCTGACGGTGGTCGGTTACACGCACGCTGTTTTCACAGCTTGCCAGTTCCGACCGTGGGTCTCACCGTCGTGAAAAACCCACCCCCGGACCCTCTTTTTTGGAACTGACTCCGCGAAATCTCGGGCGTCGGACGCGTTCAACTGTGATCCCTGCCCCGACTCTTCCATCTCGGTCCCCTCTTTTGGCCTTTGAAAAAAATCGGGAATCTCGATCGTGCCCCCGGATCGCGGTTTGTTTTCCTTTACACGGCGAGGCGAGACGAGAATCATTCGGCTCGAGAATTTTTCGATCGAATTCCGATTGTTTAACAAATCATTGTATCGTACAAGGAATGCGGGTCGTCTCCGTCGGAATGACAAAGGACAATGGCACTTGTAACTCACCATGATGGCCGTGGACGTGATGCGTGTCCGGCAGCTTGCCCGACAGGTAGTCTTGCTTGCAGACGAACTTGTTGTCCTCCAGGACGTAGAGCTCCTCTCCGGTGCTCATCTGCTTGCGACACACCAGGCAGGTGAAGCAATTCAGGTGGAAAACCTTGTCCCTCGCCTTCCTCACGAGGTCCTGGGGGCTTATCCCTTGGAGGCAACCGCTGCATTTCGTGCCGTATCGCCTGGAACACGCCGCGACACACCACCGTGAATAACGACGAACAACAAACGACCCGGCGAGTTTTTAGATTCCCTCCGCCGGGCACTGCGGTTCGCGCTGAAAGCACGGATAACGAGCGCACGCGTCCAACTCGCTCGCAACGCGACTCGCATGATTAATCGCTCGACGAGCTTTTTACCAAGCTTAAAAGACTCTTCTTCTGTTTTCTACGGCACAATGGTCGACCTATGGATTCTGTATAAATTGATCTTCTCAAAACTATAAATAACGTGTCTGACGAAAATCTATAAATTTCGTTTTCGTACAATTTATGCCTGTCGAATTTCGGTAATCGCGCGATTGATTCCAGATTCCGTTTCTTTTTGCACAGCGTAATGGTCGGTCTATGAATTTTTCTGAGGACTATAGATAAGGTGTTTAACAAAGATCTATAAATTTCGTTTTCGTACAATTTACGTCTGACGATTTTCGGTAATCTTGAAACACGTGATCGTGCGTTTGGATAAAGAAAAGGAAAGTGAATATCGCCAGGTACGTGGTTTATTGAGCACGGAACATACAAGTCCTGTCATTAAGCCGGGCGAGTCGCAAACGTCGATAAAAGAAATATGGCGCTTTTAAAGAGATGGGACTTTAACGTCCCGATAGAGCGTAAAAAGTTAAAACCCTTCGGTGCCGTAAAAGCACGTCGAGGTTACCGCCGCGGTCTGTTCGATTCTCTACTTGCGACCCTTGTGCCCTACTTGTTCATTTCGCATTAGACATTCGGATTCTTCGATTAATTCACTTTTCCAAGGGGAACAATATTATTGGATTCAATGTACATACGAGAGTTACTCAGTTCCGCGAGTCAGACGTTCGTTTAGACTCTTCAGCTGTTCTGCGCGCGTGTTAATAAATTTATCCGAAACAGGGCTGGTTCATCCCGCGGCTGTATTATTACGGAAGCAACGGAGCCGCGCACTTCCCAGCTACCAATCCCAATCGCTTTAATTACAGGAATCACGCGATTAATTATAGCAATTACCGCGGTCCCTTAGGGCTGCCGCCTTTCGAAAGTAAATATATCTCAATCGGGTGGCTGCCGTGGGGTGCTCGCGCCCGTTGTTGCGCGATACGTCTGCCTGCATTCGAATTCCCGTGGCTATCTCTCCCAGAAGGCGCAATTTTCCTGTCACTGTTCCGCGTTCCATATGCACCCGCGTACATAATATCGGCTGACCCGATTCGCGACTCTCACCACCGTTATTTTATTACCGTCGCGTTCACCTAAACTCGGTCCACATTATGCGCTGGACCGTGTCGGCGAGTCTTAGGATACCAAAGGCCATGTTCAGAAATATAAATACCGTAAGAACCGACGAAACAATGTCCAATTTCTTGGACGGTTTCCGGGGTCTCCGGCATCGATTAACTCGAGGCGTCGTCGTGTACGACGGATCGTTTCGCTAACTACCGATCGACACGGCGCCGTTTTGTTTGCTCAGAGCGTAGAGAAAAAAGAGCAGTACAAATTACAAAGATTCCCCTTTATCGATCGACACGGTCATCTATAACTATTATACCGAGTACTTACGCGTAACATCCTATAATCAACCGGCACACTTTTTCGAACTATTCATCAACCCGTCCAAATTAGCAGTCTTACGCGAACTTCCTAACAATCTTCTCACGGAAGCAGAACCCGGAGATATTTCTTGACCAACGGTCATTACACTACGGCTCCTCTGTCTCACGTTGTTCGTTCTGTGACTAATTCCCTGATTTTGTTCCTCCCGCGGCTCCCATCGCTCTCCAACCCTCTAGTCTAATTACAGGAATTATTTAATTAATTATAGCAATTAGCCGATCCCGCGTCAACTCCGTACGTCACCGAGTCGTCTCTTTCCTCTCTCCGTCTGTTTCCTTTGCACCGTTCGTTTCGCGTATCCTAGACGATTTTCTCGTTTTTGGTGAGCCGGCATAGCCGGGACCCGAGTTCCTCGTGGAAGAAAAAGAAACGGAGGCCGGCCGTAAAAATCATTAATAGAAAGGCTTACGTAGGTGCTTTCGTGTCTGAGAAAGACCGAGGACGGGGTGTGGGGCTCCCTTAAGGAGGAGAGCGTAAAGAGCCAGGAATTCTGGCGTGCAGCAAGAAATATAGGACAGCCGGGCTTGGATAAAAAAAAAAGGGGGTGGGTCTCGGGGCCACGATTTGCCACGGAGTTGCCGGAGTTTATGTATGTGGTGCGTGCTCCTTCCAACGGGGTTCCGACCCCGTCGAACCTAGCTCTAGCCGTCGCTACGATTTTTATTACCCGTATATTTCTGACTATTCAGAATTTAGAAACAAAATAGGTGTTTCAAGATTAAAAGGTATCCAATAAGTAGTCTGCAGATTCTGGAAATCGGTGCTGCGTACATTTCTTTTTATTCTTTCTATAAATCAAATGTTGGATCATTTGATAACAATGAAACTCCTGTCGACAGACGCTAACCGTAGCATAATTAATTTTTAACCCGAAGATATTGAGTCGACAGGCTTATGAATGTGTATTTGCAAAGGCCTGGGTTATAAACATTATGCAGGCTCAGGATCAGTTCTCTAAGTGGGTTTCAAACTGTTTTTAGTGCGTTAGGCTGTGCCTCACTTTCGTTCCTCATATCGTGCAGATTTTCTTGAAATGTAGTAAAACGTAAGACAAGAGAGTCTCATTTATTAACCCATTTCCAATATGAAAATATAGTATCGCGTATGTTAAGAAGGATGAACGTATTAAATCAGTAGAATCTTTTAATTTACTGATGTAATCGAGTATTTCTTGCAACGATGAACCGATCAAAAGAACGGTCGATTGAAACAGTCGGCGAGCGGAGAGGAGGAATATCAATCATCTGACTCGACGATTGTATTCTTGTAAAGTTTTCTGGGTGCACGGCCGAGCGATGACTCGGCTTCGCGGGTCAAACCACGCACACCCGCCACCACCTTGACTTATTACGAAGAAACTTTAATCACCGTCCGATTCATTATTTCTCTGTAAACAGCCAGCCGCGCTACCAACTAGCAACCACCATCGTTCCTCTCTTTCTCCGCGTTACCATCGACGCACATGCGCCGATGTCTCGGCTACGCCGATGAAGGAAACATAAACGGTTCGCGAGATCACTCACGAGCCGGGAGTCTAATTAGTGGAATCCAATTAGCGGCGCGAGCGTCGTCGCTTCCGTTGGACCTATTCGATGGATCTTTAAAAAAAACCCGAAGTAATTTCACCGAAGGCGCACACCGATTTTCACTTGGAGCAACATCGCGGTCCACGGTTAACGGGACGAGTTTTCGAGCCGGCGCCGATTAATTCGTGAAATATCGTCGATTATCGTTTGGGGAGGGATCGAGGACCGATTCATAACAGTTATGCTAATGTCTCGGCTGGCCATGCGACACCGCGAGGCGCCGTTCGCAGCGAAAACGGGCGAAGCTTTCGAACCGTTTCGGTCCTCGTCGTTCCTCACCGAGCTCCTCTCTCCCGGTTACGTGCCACTTTCTCCGTTCGATTCGCGGTTAAACGCGCTCGTAACGAGATGACAAACGATCGTTAAGCGATCACACGTGGTGGAACGACTCTCAGTCGCGTTATGCAACCGTAGTTAGACTCTGTCACGAGGATCGGCTCTAATTGATAGAAAAAAGGCGAACGGGGGAATTAATCTCGACGGTGGAAACGGGAGCCTGTCCCGGGAATGTGACGCAAGAGACTAGTGGTTGGCAAAAACGTTCCCCTTGTACGCATCGCGATAGAGGTATAGGTGGTATTGCCGAACCTTCCTGGAAGGGAAACGACTCCGTGCGTCTCCTTCTCTCTCTCCCACGTACGGTCGAACCGCGGCGGCCCCGTCACGCCCAACAAACTTCTCCTACGGTTCGTAGCGGGCGTCACGCCGCATTTATTATGTTTCCACGTTCGAGTTTCGACGGGTCTACTCCTGAGGAGGCCAGGCACCGCGGGTGGAAAGCAAGGACAATGGAGACCACTCGCCGGCGCCCTTTCCGTACCGACTACGGGAAAATCGATCTATGATCGACGATCGCTACGCTTTTCATTCCAAACTGTCGCTCTCAAACCCTTATACAGAAATTTTATAATTACGTTCAAACTATTTATAATTATTTTCAATTGAAACTGTGTTTCATTAATAATTTAGATTATTTTATAGATTTTTGATAGGTAATCGATTGGAAGTATGATTGGATGCTAATTGTCCTAGGCACGGGGGTATACAATTAACATCCTTCTATGTACGGCTATTATCCATTCCTTGTTTTACGACGTGGACGTTTAATGTACTCTGTTGCAATAGCCGGCATGATTTATATTCTAAAAGTGTCTTTACAAGTCGACGCGCCGTTCTTTTTAACTTGTAACGCGTGTAACAATACCCGTGTGCAATTTATTGAATTAATTAATTTTTTGTCGTCCCATCGATGGAGATGAGATGATTGTTTTTTAAAATAAATATAGTAAATGTACTATTTTCTACTCAGTTAAACATGATTTTGCTGTTAATTAAACATGATACAATGTATGAGTCAAAATTTATAGTGAAAAATATTTTAAGGCGTGCAATTTAATATACATTCAGATGAATCAGGCAAAAAATCATTTATAATCATTTCTTGCTGTAAAAATGAAGGGTTGAAGTTCACATCTCTAATGCCCGTATTTCTATTCATTGTTCGGTGTTTGTTTCGGTTATTATGAGACAAGTACTTATTTTATTAATGTAAGGTTGTAGAAAATTATAAACAACCGCCATCAATAATTATCCTGATTTTATTAACATTATTTGTAACAATGTTTTAAATCCGCACTTTCCTTTCTGATTCTAATTTTAAAATTGGAAAAGCATTTTATTCCTATTTATAATGAATCTAATTATATTTCCTTCATTAATAAATTTATAGCTACAGGTTTTGCGAGTCTAAATATTGGCAACAAGTTATAATAGCATGAACGTTAT